TGGTAAGAGTCTAGGGAGTGGTTGAGTGGTGTCGGTGGGTCTGATGGAAGGTGGGTGAGGTGGGATGGCGGGTAAGGTGGCTGCAAATGGAAGAGTTGCGACTTGGCATCGGCTCCGAGAAGTTCTCGGAGGTGGGTTTAGTGGGGCAAGGTAATGGGTGGGTGGTAAGAGCTTAAGGAAGGAATGGGCCGGTGGGTCCGTGTGGGACTGAAGGAAGGTGGTGAAGTGTGGTGGCGGGTTAGAGGTTGGTAAAGAATGGGACGAGTTAGCGACTAGCATGGCCTGAGATAAGTTATCTGGAGGTGGTTAGTAGGCTCAAGGTTGGTGGGTGGTAGAGGTTCAGGGAAGGTGGGCAGGCTGGGTATCGGTGGGCCGAGAAAGGTCGGGGAGTTGTGCGTGCGCCGATACGAGGGATTAGAGGTGGTGAAATAGGGACGAGGTAAATGGCCGACCTGGCAATGGCTGCGAAGAAGTTCGGAGGTGGTTCTGTAAGTGCGGGCAAGGTTGGGTGAAGGTGGTCAAGTCAGGGAAAGGGGGGATACTTGGGTCGGGTGGCGGGTTAGTGGGGTGGGTCAGAGGTGGAAGTAAGGGAATAGTTAGCAAACTCGCATGGCTCTGAGAGAGTTTGTGAAGGTGGGATAAGTGGGGACACAGAGGTTGGCGTGGGGTGGATCAAGTCAGGAGGAAGGTGGATAGGTGGAGATATGATGGGCTGAGAAATGGGTGGTGACGCTGTGTGGGCACAGGGTGCAGAGGTTGGTGATATGGGAAAGTTTAGCGACTAGCATAGGCCTGAAGAAGTCTTCGGAGGTGGGTTCAAGGTGGGTCAATGGTATTAATGGGTTGGGTTGGTAAGGAGTGCAGGTGAAGGTTGGTGGTGGTGATATGTGCGGGATAGTGTTGGGTTAAAAAGGTTGGATGAAATGGAGAAAATTTATATATACAGACCTCGGCTATGGCCCGAAGAAGATTTCGAGGATGGGTTAAATATAGTGGTCAATGGTGTGTGGGTGGAGGGTAAGCAGTCAGGGAAGGGAGTTGGTGGTGAATTTGGCGGTAGTGGAATGCGTAAAGGTGGTGAATTGTGGAATAGGTTAGAGAACCGACTGGCATGGCCCGAGAAGTATTCGGATGTGAGGTATTAGTGGGCAAGGTTGGGGTGGTGTCAAAGTCAGGAAGGTGGGTTGGTGGGATTGATGGTTGTAGCTGAAGGAACGGTGGGTAGAGTGTTGGTGGGCGGGTTAGAGTGGTGAATACGATGGCAAGGCCATAAGAAGTTTCGAAGGTGGGTAAGTGGGCAAGATTGGGTAGATGGTCGAGTTAGGGAAGGTGGTTTGGTGGTTGTGGGGCTGGTAAGTAAGCAATCGCACGAATGGATGAAGGAAGGTCGGTTGGAATAGGCACCAGTAAAAGGTGGTTGTGGGGTGCCGGCTAGGTAGGGCCATAGAATTGCATGTGATGAGAAGGGGGGTGAGGATCGGTAGTGAGATGCCATACTTATTCTGTTTATCTCTAGGGAAATATTTTGTAGAGATTTACACACAACACAATAAATTAACAAATTGGTCACACGCACAATTTAGTAAACATTATGGCATCTCTCTGATTTTTTGTTTACTTGAGTTGTTGTTGATAATGATCTTTTAGTAGCGATATAAAGATGTTTGTGCTTAATGCTAGTGCTCTGGTTATCAACATTATTTATCATAAAACTTTCATCATCTATTACTTCATTATCTTTATTCTAAAGTAAGGAAATTAACATTAATGTGCGTGTATGAATTATTAATGAACCATCTTCGTTATTTCTATCACTAGGAGTATTGCTGTAATCTCCCCATTACTATACATATGATTTTCTATAATCCTCCTTTATCATGAATTCCGTGTCGAACACTTATTGTCTTACGTTTTTTCTTCATAAGATTGAAGAAAATAGGCAAAAATATAGAAAGATACTGTAATTTTATCTTCTATTTTGAGAGGTAATAAGGTACGAAGAGATAAATGTCTGTATTTAGGATCAATATATCAAACAAGAAGATAAACAAACCGCCCTAAAAATTTAAATGCATTATATATTAACCTATAAGCTTCCATAGACGTCGGCCAAACCATAGTAAGGAAATTAATGTTTCTTTTGGAGATTTACATAATTTTTGAATCCATTCCGGGAATATATATTAAAATATGAATATAACCGTATATAATTAATAAGTATAATAATTAAGAATAATAGTAATAATATATATAACATTATTATGAGTAGATAAAAACCCACTAAATGTACACTTTCTTCAATATTTAGTTTGTGCATCTGTGGGTTTTTCTAACCACTAGTATTCAAACACGGTTAGTGTTATTAATGTTCCACTCATATGTAATAATGAATTACCATCACAACCATATCATACATAATCATACATAATATATATTATAAATATATATACTAATATAATATATTATATAATAATACCTACTATAATATGTTTGAAATCAATGGATTATGTTTGAATCCTTTTTAATGGGCATTTAACCTGCCACTACTGACGTGTTGCGTCTTTAATATAATGATCACTTGATATATTGGCGTTAATCACAATAAGAGAAACCGTGGATGATATATATATATATACTCTAAAAATTCACTTATATGTAATATTTACACGGGTGAAAAATAATTCCTTCTAGCTAATTTACTCCGTTGAAAATGTCGTTATAAATGAACACAACATTTTCAATTTATATTTCCTTTAAATTCATTAGATGTTAGGCAATAAATGTATGTACTCATGTACATATATTTCACATAATATTTAGGAGCAATATGCGAAGAGGAAATATGGAGAGAAAAACAAACTGTTTAAAATACAATAACTAATAATAAGAAGATCATTCGTTATAGATGCTCGCCAGGCCAGATATATAAGTGTTTATTCTATTCATCATTCTTCATTCTCTTTTCTCGGAACGTCAAAAATGTTAACATTGTTATCTTCGGTGATTTGAAGAACATGAATAATGAAAAACAAGAAATGAAAATCTAAATGAAAGAAAACGGGATACAAAGAAAACGGAAATGATAGCGCAAGAAAATAAAAAACTACGCTGTTAAAAAAAAAAGAAAAAAATAACACCAAGAGTGAATGAAGGGATGGGATGAAGGAGGGGAAAAAGTGAGTCAGATGTGAAAACAAAAAAGAAAAGAAAAAAGTCCGTGGACTGAGGTGACAACATAATCCTTCCACTCCAACCTTTTATCTCATCCTTGACACTCGCTAATCACGTTTCGTTACGTAGATTACTGTGTACACTTCATCAAGATACGTAACGATTAATATCACTAACTCTCATGTTTATCTGTGTTATATATAACATCTATGCTTTTGGAAATTACTGATTCATGTGTAGATAAGGTCGTTTTCTATGAAAGTGCATGGCATTTGTGTATGTTGATACAAGGATTTCGCGTACCTAAAACATCTTATATATTATTTTCACATAAAGATCCCTCTTTTGCAAAGCTGCAATTTCCTCTAAACCAGATTCCATAAGCTTTGCTATAAGACTACTTGCATCGCACCTAAAGCTATTTCGGTCCACTTTATATAGAAGCAGAACAAAACAAACATGACACAAAACAGAATATATCTACAACAGAAATCAAATACTGAAGCGATATAGGATCACGGGGAAACATCTTATAATACATGTATTTTCTAAATATCACATTTAATACAAACGCTACGCTAGATATATGTCACAGTTATATAGCTATAAAGACGTCTGAAGTACGTTGTTTTCTATGGTCATCTTCTTGGCCAGGACTCTCGTGATCTCGTCTGCGACCGCGTGTCCGTCAGTCACGCTGATGGCGCTCTCCCGTCGCACCAGGTTCTGCTTATTCTTCTCATTCGCTCTGCTCTTCTCATTCTCCTTGTTTTTCTGATCGCTGGCAAGCAACAAGAGTTAATTAAATAAAGATAATACAGTAAAGTTTAAGAATTATAGGAAATAAAGATAATACAGCACGTTGGTAAATCGACAATGAAATTATCGTCATTTGATGAAAAAAACGAGAATTCGTTATAATTCTTATTACACATTCACATTCTCACGAGGCGTAACACATGATTCAGAAACCGCAACGAAACACATTCAAAGCAAAACAAACTTACTAACGAGCGCACAAAAAGACGTTTGTTAATCAGATTTCGACAATTATAATTACACGGCGGTTGTCTCGAGTGCTGTGTCAATAGCAACCTCTCAGACCTTGATTTTGACGAAACTTTCGTCTTCATATTGGCAAAACTTTCGGGAAACATGAATGTATAAATGATTGAGAGAGAAGGAGTGAGAGAGGTAGGGAAGGGAGGGAGAAGAAAGGGAAGAAAGAGGGAAGAGCGGGAGAAGGAAGAAAAGAAGAGGGAGATAAAAGAGGGAAGAGGGAAGAGAGACGAAAGAGGTGAGGGAGGGAAGGGAAGTTGAGAGAGAGAGAGATATGACAGATACATAGATAAGATGAGGAAGAAAGAGGGAAAGGGGGAAGGAGAGAAATGGATGGTCAAAAAGAAGCAAAGAGAAGAGACAGAGATAAGAGAGGGGAGGGAGGGAGGCGAGTTGAGAGAGATAAGATTAGACAGACAGATAGATAGATATGAGAGAGAGAGAGAGAGAAAGAGAAAGATGAGAGAGAGAGAGGAAGAGAGGAAAAAGGGGGGAAGGAAAAGAATGGTTTGCTAAAAGAAGCCAAAGAGAAATAGAGATAAAGATAGAGAGAAAGAAAGGTGGAAAGAAGAGGGGAAAGTAGAGAATGGGTGGTCAAAAGAAGCAAAAAAAAAAAAATAAATAAAAAAAAGATAGACACGATGAGAGAGACAGACAGACAAACAGACAGACTAGGAGAGACACAGAGAAGAGAGAAATAGGACGCCAGAAGGGTAAATAACAATGCAATAAAAGTGAGAAGGATATGAGACAACAGAAAATAACAAAGATCAAAGAACAGGAATAGCAAAGAGCGAATCACCAAACAAGGGGAAAAAGTACGAAAGGAGAAGTGAATGAGAATGAAGGATCAAATCCAGAATGCGGTTAGCGTGAAAACGGGACATGGCATGGAGGCGAACGAAATGAAGGGAAAGGAAAAGAAAGATAAATGAGAAGAGGAAGAGACAAAAGATGAATAATAGACAGGTAAAAGACACAAGATAAATATCTATCGTTGAAGAAGTAGGAAGAAGAAAATGAAGGAGAAGAGAAAGAAACGAAAAAGGAACAGAAAGAAAGAAAAAACAATCGGTATAAAGAATAAACACGAAGACGAAATTAAAGAACAAAAGAGGAAAACAAGTAAACATAAAAAAAAATGAGAGTAGTGGTCGCCCAGCTCAACCGCCATTCTAATCAAATCTGCCCAAAAAGCCGATGTAACCGATAGTCCTCATCCACAGCGTTTGCCCAGAGCACCACGGCGCCACACATGATGTAACTATGACGTCATCATCGTCTCTCTCGTTCATGCTGGTCACTGCAAACCATGGGAACAGGCCAGGTAGACATCCAAAATAATAAACAAAAAAAATCTGATTCCTTATTTGCATTCTCATTTTAGATTTGTCTCAGTACGGATTTAGTAAAATCAGGATGTAACGAGTACGGCAGCACATCTGCATCCGCCATGACATCAATTATCTAAAATAATAATAATAAAATCACAAAATATGACAAAGAGACTCTTTCTTCATCCTCAACATAGTTTAGTTTTATCAGGAATATCTAAGATATGGAGCAAAAAACGTCCTATATCCGGCCCTTATTCGACAGGAAAGCGAAAAAAAAAGAAAAGAAAAACAGGATGCGCAACAAAAGAGCATCGGACATCCGGAATAGACAATGAGCTTTTGGGCGCTAGAATATAACTGAACTCTTTTCTGGGCGTGTCACTCATCCCGTTTGACCTTATATAATTTTTTATTTCTATTAGTGTGTAAAATAGTTCTTAATGGTGTAAATAGTTCCCTGTCATCGTGAATATTGATACGAATATTATCATCATCCGGGACTCAAGTACAGTTACACGATTCACTGGGGGTTTTGTTGTGATTATTAATTTTTCGTCCATGCTGTCATTCCATTCTTATCATTAGCATTAATTAGTTGTACATTACTATCATTATTTCATTATTGTTAACGTATTAATGACATTGTTTGCTAAAGTGATATTTTATCATGGCATCTATTATTACTATCATTAGAATTACTATTAGTTCTACCATTATTATGATCGCTATTATTGATAAAATGAATCGGGGTCACCATGATTCTTTTTAATTATCAGAAAACAACTAAAAAGTGAAATACTGGATCCAAAGGGAGATTTAAACGAAATATCACAGATTCAGGATTTGTTCATCATTACTGTTCATATCTTTATTAAAAGTACTATCAAGTTCATAATGATGCCGATTATCGTTATTGCTATCATTGTAATTGATGGTATTATTATTTTTATTATTATAATAATAATTATTATTGTTGTTGCTATTACTATTAATATACTAATGCTGCTGATTGCCATTATGATTGATTCCATCATCATAGTAATAATGATATTAATAACAATAACAATTATGATGATGATGAATGTGATGATGATGAAGATGATGGTGAAGATGATGTTGACGGTGAAACTGACGATGAGGATGATAATGCTAATAAAAATGATAATAATACCGACCATATAACAATAACAACTATCATCACATCACATGATTAATTACATCACATCACATCACATTACATGATTAAGCGTCACAAATTGCGCATCCAGTCATCCAGATTATTTGACACCTCATCCGCGCATCTAAAACCTTGGCCATTGTTGACTCCTCACGCGATGGAGGTCAACCCCTTCCTCTCCCTCGCCCCCCTCCCTTTCCGTTTTCCCCCCCCCACCTTCCTTTTTTCAGGTCCCTTCCCCTCTCCCCTTCCTACCCTCTCCCTTTGTTTTTCTCTCTCATTTTCTTTAATTATTCTCCTTTCTCCTTTTACTCCTCCTTTTCCGTTTGCCATATTTTTTTTCATCATCCCTTCTTGGTTTCTCTCTCCTCTCCCCCCTGATTCTTCTTTCACGCCTCACCTGCATCTTTATCACTCCCATTTTTTTTCTGTTCTCCTCCTATCCTTTGACTGTTTTCCTCTTTCTTCTCCTTTTCTGTCTTTACTTCTTTACTTTCTTTTCAGTTCTATACCTTGCTTTCTTCCCCTTTCTTGTTTGATTTCTTTCTCTCTCTTTTTAATCCATTTCTTAAATCTTTGTCGCTTTCACTTTTTATTTCCTTATTACATCCTTCTACCTACTCCCCCTTTCACTATCTTCTTCTCCTTTTCCCCCTTTTCGCTGTCCTCTTTCTTTTCTTCCATATCCTATATTCCTTATAACTTTCCTCTTTTTCCCTTCCTATTCTCTCCTTCCCATCTCCCCCTTTCTATTTTCTCTTCCTTTGCTCCCCTATTCTTCTCATCCTTTTTCTTTCCTCTTTCACTTCCCTCTCTCCCTTCTCCTTTTTCCTTTTGCTCTGTCCTTTCCCTCCATTCACTCCCTCCTCCCTTTCCTCTTCCTTTTTTTCATTGTTTCCCTCCTCCTTTTTCTTTTCCCTCCCATTCACTCCCCTCCCTTTCCTTTTCCTTTTTTCATTGTTTCCCTCCTCCTTTTTCTTTTCCCTCCCATTCACTCCCCTCCCTTTCCTTTTCCTTTTTTTCATTCTTTCCTCTCTCTCCTTTTCCTTTTCCCTCCATTCACTCTCTCCTCCCTTTCCTTTTCTTTTTTTTTCATTTCTCTCTCCTCCTCTTTCCTTTTTCTTTTTCCCTCATTCACTCTCTCCTCTCCTTTCCTTTTCCTTTTTTTATTTTCTCTCCTCTTTTCCTTTTTCTTTTTCCCTCCATTCACACTCTCCTCCCTTTCCTTTTCCTTTTTTTTATTTTTCTCTCCTCTTTTCCTTTTTCTTTTTCCCTCCATTCACTCTCTCCTCCCTTTCCCTTTCCGTTCATTTCTATAAGGACAACAATAGCATAATGAAACGGTTGATTATTCCGTTGTTTCAGCATTCAATGACAGTTCCATGGTCGTTTTTTTTTCAAATATTTAAAACTGAAACTCGACATGCGACATCATACGTGCGGTTTAAATTGATAATATTATGTTTAATCATGGTAGATTATGGTTTTACAGCCGATTTTTTTAAAGGTAATTAACTATATAGTGTTAAATAATTCGATGTCTGCCTTGACTACAGAAACCGGATTTTTGCAGACGTGAGTGACATGAAGAGCAGCGGAAGCTTCTACGATCCAGATACCTTGATTATCTGTTTATGGAAAGCCTGTTGGTGTACATCTCAGTGTTTCTGTTTGTTCAGTGGTACACCAATTTGTACAGAAAGAGGCTAAATGTGTCTTAGTCCAGAAGAAATGTGTAGTGTGATCTCCAGATGCGAAAAATGTGTACGATAGATAGTCTTGATACTTGTTGTAATTAATGAGAAAATTATAATTATCATTAATTGTTAGGAATCTGGGGGACAAAACGCTTGTATAAAAGAGGAACATAGAAATAGCATGAACAACACTAAGAGTGCATAAAATATTCATTGACAAGCCCCGTTTGTCCCCGAAGCCAAAGCTCCGCACAATAACCCCCTTTTGAAACCAGGGCGGGCGAAGGTCAGCACACACACACACCTGATCCTTTGTCGTGGTGTCGGCCCGGGTCGCGACCTTCGGACTGGCGTGGTCGTCGTCGGAACTGCTCCGGGTGTCGTCGGGCAGCGCGCACCTCCTCTTGTTGTTCTCCCTGTATCTCCCGCTCCTCGAGATGGACACCTTCCTGCGGTTGACCAGGTCGCTGGACGGGGCGCCCTCGGGGTCCTCCCTCCCCTGGTCCTTCGAGGAGGCTGGGGCGGGCGCCGAGATCGTCTGGGACCGCTTGCCCCGAGGGAGGTGGCTGCTCTTGAAGTTGTGGAACATTTTCATGACGCTCGCCATGGCTGCTGTCTGTTTCTTGTTTAGTTTAGTTTTTTTCTTTTTTTTTTTTGGCTGTACTGTATCCGCTGATGTTTTCTATTTACCGTATATTTGATTTGTTCAGATTTTACAGAACGGTATATCCGTGTATATAAAAATCATTTCTAAGCGACACTCTATGGGCAGTTCACACCTTCTGACCAAACATCTCACACTCCGACGGCAAATGCATGTGCGTGCGTCACCGTGCGCTGTCCTTCCCCCTCGAGTCGGCTCGGCGCGTCTGACCGCTCCCCACCAGCTGTCACGACACAATGATCCACCACCTCTCACGGGAAATCCGTCTCCCGCTTCAACAAAAGGGATCCGCTAGTGGCGAACGGGAGAGTGACGTCATGGATAAGCCGACCAATCGCGCCGCAGAGAAACCATGGACGGCAGTTCACGCACCCGCGGAGGTGTGTTCTTCCATGGCGGCCAATGAGACGCCCACCCCGGGATGACGCGCCGAGACGATGGCTCCCACTCTCCGGGAGCCTCAGTTATCAGTGACAAATGACGAACGAAGAGAAGAGGTAACGCACTTTCACCAGGGAGCGGCGGGACACAGCGACAGAGAATTAAAAGCCAAAACCAAAGTAAAAGGATTGTCCATGACCCACTGGAGCCGCGCAGGCAAGCGTGAGCAAAACAACACAGTTGCTAAGTTTACCTTCTATTACGCAAGGCTGAAGACGTTTGAAATGCAAATGAGGTAGATGTAAATATCAGTTACTATGTCAGGTTACCTCTTTCTCTCACAAATCCATGGATCAGTTAAGTTAATCGCCCGATAAATCACACTGATAATGAAGCCTAGTTTACATGATACGTATAATAGCAACATAATATTACACATGAATATTACGGAAGAAATGAAAACCAATCGGATGATTTATTTCTGTATAATGAAAGAAAAATGGACGCTAATTATGTATAAACAGAAACTAATATTTAGACTTGCTGATCATAACATCCTATCAAAAATAATCAAACTATTGATAAATACATTGAAATAAGCTTCATGGCAAGTGCGGGGCTCGGGGTCAACGTGGCGAATACTAATTACATGTCACTGTCAGAATATGACCCGAAACACCTTTACGTAAGGTTATAGGCACAGCTCAACCTGATGAAAATAGCTTCGTGTTTGTCGGTTGATCATTCTGTTTCTTCTCACTGCAATTGCCGTATGTCTGTCTCTGTCTCTCATTGTTTTTGTGTCTATCACCTTGTATAAATTTGTCTCTGTCTCTCTATCCCTCTGCCCCTTCTGTCTCTGTCACTGCATTTATCTCTGTCTCTCCACCTGTGTCTGCCTCCGTTTCTCTGTTTCTGTTTCACTCTCTCTGTCCCTGTCCTTATCTATCTGTCTCTGTTCCTATCTCTTTTTTACCCGCCTCTACACAAGCAGTAGTTAGCGACTCCAAAACAAAAAACAAAAACAAAAATGTGTTTATTCATATAAATATGACTTTGCACAACTATGCGAACACGATATCCCAGGCCCCGTAACCCTCAGGCGTTGAACTATATGGTTACACACGCCAAATTACGGTTGGTATATGTTGTTTATAACACGATTGTTTCCGGTACACTTAGCTACGGTGCAGATGCCTGCCCTGTACATAATGTCACGGTGATGGTGATATACACAGATCATGATAGGTTTGGTTACACTACACTTCAAGAGGAGATAGGTATTCTTATTTTTATTGGCCATCAATTGCAACGAAGACAAAAAAAAATATTGATAATGGCGGAATTGATCTGCACATCTATACACGTTGAATTATGGTGTCTCTTGTGAAGGAAGGTGAAAGACCCTTTTGAAAGTTTATATTATGGAGAACTGGTCATGTAAAACCTTAATGAAAAACGATTGAAATGGACTAGTACGTATTTAGCTTTGGATTATGCTCAAAAGGGAAGTATAACTTGAGTCAAGTTTCCTCTTTTTAAGAATTTATGATGCACAAAAGCTGACAGAAAAAAAAATTCGCGTAACTTAATTCCGACTTATGTTACAGCTACATACACAAACACAAAAAACAGCAGATTTTCATTAAATATAAGTTACAGTCATACTTATCATAAGGTACCACGTTTATTGGAAGTTCCCCGGCTCTCATTGTTACGCATTTTTCATAAGTTCGAAAAATAATTAAATTTCATAAGTTCGAAAATAATTAAATTTCATAAGTTCGAAATAATTAAATTTCATGTTCGAAAATAATTAAATTTCATAAAGTTCGAAATAATTAAATTTCAAGTTCGAAAATAATTAAATTTCATAAGTTCGAAAATAATTAAATATAAGTTCGATAATTAAATAATTAAAAATTTCAAAGTTGAAAATAATTAAATTTCGTAAAAATAATTAAATTTCATAAGTTTCGAAAATAATTAAATGTTCGAAATTAATTATGTTCGAAAATAATTAATGGCTGTACGCTTCCTGACGCTGTGATTTTGACACCAGCTGGTTATCTGATTTTTTGCTTGTAAATCTTTTCAAGAAATTCATCAGTAAGACAATGATTAAGCGCAGTATTTTTTCATGAAGTCGAGTTTGAAATAGATTTAAAATTTAAAGTTAAGTCCTGTATTAAAGTACTAAGTTCAGTATAATGATAAATTTCATTGAGTCAAGTATTAAAACAAAGAAGAAATTACAGTAGATTATCTATTCGCAAACAAGCAAAAAAAAAAAAAAGTTTGACAAAGTGGAAAAGTCCCTTTATTGTTCATGTTTACTTGTAGGTCCACCGTTCATAGACAAATATAGGCCAACTGGAAGAAAAAAAACATATTGCATCGTTAATGTCTTTTACAGCTCATAAAAAATATCGATATAATGGCAAATAAATGCTCTTTTATTGTATTTGAGGAAATGCGATTTAGAGACTAATGAAAGAAACGAAGAAATAAAAATGACAAGAAAAGAACACTGCAAAGTCGTGCGTTTTCTGTTTTCTTTCGACTCCATTTTCTATCCATTTTCTTTGCCCTGTTATTGGTTATATATTTTTAAAAAATGATTATGGAAAAAAAACAATCCAGCATCCTTTCATTACCCCAGAAACGGCCTCGTAAGATTACAGTAATTAGAGCAGAATTAAGGTAAGTTTTAGAAAATAGAATAGAACTTGCAGTTAATACCTTGTATCGTAATCTTATCAATGCATTTAATGAAAAATGGATAATCAGCTGGTTTGAAATCCTGGATAAGTTTGAGAAAAAAATGAACATCCCTCTTATCAGCATTATCTAATGTTCTGCATTTTCATACATGGAATATATACATTGGTGCTGATGGCTATACCTACGGCATCGGACCGTTAGTACCAGTTCTAGAGCTATGATATGCTCACTACTGCTCCATAGGTTAACCTGTCCTAACTTACCCTAACTTGTCTTAACCAAACTGATGATACAAATATCCGAGAGATGATTATGTTCTGTTCTCAGTGTTAATCCCTCTGAGGCAGTGCTTCCCAACCCCATGTCGCGACCCAAGTGAGGGTCACCAGAGTTTTTTCTGAGGGTCGCCAGAGGGTCTTCAAAGAAGAATACAAGAATCCATGGCTGGATGTGTCAGGAAAAGTTAATATTTTTTATTAACACTTGTTTATTAAAACAATGTGTTGGTAATATAAACTTATAAAAGTATAGAATAACGTACGCTGATATACAGCTACAAGTATAACTACCATGAAAATGTTTGGAAATATTACTACATGTTCACACATTTAGGGTCGCTAGCCCAGGGCCCGGATTCACTAACGCACTTACGATGGTAAAATCACTGGTAACTTTAGTTACCATGGTAAACAGACAGCGGTGGTATTCACTAACAACTTGCCATCGGTGTTACCATGGTAAATTTTACCAGTGGCCAGAGAACTGGTAACTTTTGGAAAGACGATGTCATCACGTGTTATCTCGTCAAAAAATCAATATCTAAGCAAAGTTTTAGGTTTGTTTTTACACCTGATGTAACTAATATGATGGCAAACAGATATCACAATGCGGACATAGTGAAGAAATGCAAATTTCATATGAAAGTAACAAGAACAAAATACACACAAATTCTCGTAAACTTATAGGCCTACATTATACTAGAATGCATGGAACCGATAAATAAGTGAACTTTTTAAAAAATCTCTTGACATAATTATTACAAATGCTATAGAAAAACCTACCTTGCTGATATATAAACTGGCAATGATGAAAACATATAATTAAAAAGCTGTTTGGACTGTTTCTTTGGTTTGAGTTAACAATAATATATATAAGTAATTATTATATCCTATCCAACAGTGTATGAATTAGTTCCTATCTATACAGTAAATATATATCCAACATGATGGATATAATAAAATAAATATATTCTTTTTTTTTCTACATGTGCTTAAATAGTGTTTTAGCTCTGACGATTATTTAAACAATCTCGCTGTGTCTAGTTCTGTTTACATGCTACGTGATTGGCCGAATGAACCTAAAAGATTATGTACAGCGCTCGCTGATTGGTTGAATTGCTTTACCAGAGCCCTCTGTTGGCTACCATTAGAATGAGTCGATTTACGATTGTAACTCAGCATATCCAAAGTACCATTTCTTCGTGAATCCCGCTTTGCCATGACTGGTAAACGCAATGGTAAATGACCGCTGGTAAATGCGTTACGATCGCATGTTAGTGAATCCGGCCCCTGGGGATGAGACTGCCTTTAGGGTCGCACCCGAAAAAGTTTGGGAAACACTGCCCTAAAAGCTACGCTGTAGCGTTAGTTACTTCATGATTTGACAATTCGTCGCATTTGCATAACGAAAGAAAGTTATTTATTTTCTGCACGACTTTTGGCGTGTAGCACATCTGATGATCACCTCACCCTCCCCCTTCACCCTTTTCACTGCGACACCTTTCTGTAGCGCTATTTGATCTTTGATGTCTAGCTCATTTACTTCGCTTTGTAATCAACCATGAACTAAGAATGTTATTTTCGGCCCAAATATTCTTCTTTGACCTCAATATGAGGAGAAATGGCGCTAAAATAAATTGTTTGATTTAGATTAGATTAACCATTTTGTCAGACGCAAATTGCGCTGACATCGGGAAAACTGCCGTCATAAGATAAGAATTGATTTGGAATAATTTTCGACGCATATACCTTGTTGATATTTACTTTGCGGTTACTGCTTATCTGTATGTATGTGCACATTCATACGCTATGCATATACGTTTATACACTTTATATGTGTAAACAAATAAATAAGATAGTGTGATTATTTTTCACAGAG